ATTCCCCAGGGGAATTCTGGGAGTTGAAGTCCACGCGTCTTAAAGCGGCCAAGGTTGAGAAAACCTGATCTAGGGTGCTCGAGGGGGTTCAAATGCTTTGTATTCTCTTTGCATCCTTTCGAGAAAAACCTTTTAGGAGCGAAACGTGCAAGGTTTTGCTGTTGCCGTAGTCATAATAGGAAAGCAGGGGGGCGAATCTAGTTAATGCACCTACAGGTTGGCCCCCACACTTACTTACTCGGCCCCATGGCGTGCACGATGAGGAAAACGTTGATGAAGACGTAGTTAAGGTAAGACAGCCAGGCATACCGAAGCTGGAGGGAGAAGAACAGGCCACCTTCGGTCTTGCAAAAACCCGGCCAGGGGCTCTGCTCTAAAGAAGACTTTTTGCAAAGAGACGCCAGCTCCCCGCGTTTCTGACCCACTCTGGCCCCGAACTCTGGCAGGAAGACAGAATTTTCCCAAACCGTCCTGAGGCGCCGGCAATTGAAGTGGAGACTTCGGCCGCCTCGAGCGCGGGGACGAGCAGCCTCTCCACCGTCACGTACCTGAAGCTCCATGGTCACGGTGAGCAGGACGCAGAAGACCGTGGACATCCCAAATCCGATGAGAAGCAGAACTCTGCGTCCTTTAGTATCGACAATGTACATCTGGAAAATGGAAAGACGGTGGGATAGATCGTGCCCGTCCACCCACTTGCTTCTCTCACGGGGCAGGATAGAGGAGAGATCGCCTGGTGGCCTACTTTCTATCTCCATTTGTCTGCTGTTGGCTACACGAAAAGGACAAAGCTGGAATTACTCTCTGGGACTCCCCCTGCTAATTATCCACAGTGGCTCTTTAAACTTCTATGCCTTTGGCTATGTTGATTGATACATTAATTAATCCATTTAATCCATGAATCAATTCAAGTAAATAACGTGCCAAGTCATTTTGAACTCCTCTTTTGATATACAGATTCCATGTTATCATATAGATTTGATATCTAGATTACTGTTGTTGTTTATTCGTCTTCCCCACCTCCATTTTTCCTGCTTTTTCCTCATTTGGGCCAATTAACTGTTTCTGACGTTTGCTAATGTTCAGTCGGTCAAGATCAATCTCTTATTTTTGGCTAGCTGAACTGAAGGGCACTGTGTTTGCTCTGCCAGTCTGATGCCCTAAGAGTTTCTGGAACACTATTTTATTGATGTAGGGCAGGGTTCCTCAACCTCAGCAACTTTGAGATGGGTGGACTTCAACTCCCAGAATTCCCCTGGCTGGGGAATTCTGGGAGTTGAAGTCCACCCATCTCAAAGTTGCTGAGGTTGAGGAATCCTGCTGTCGGGTATGATCGCAGAATCTTAGCAGCCTTTCCCCTTCTTTCCCTCTCGTACCAAAGAGAATCAAGACGGGGCAATCTTGAGTTTCAACAGGGTTAAAAAAGGGGTAAGTGAGAATGAATGAAGAGACGGAGGAAGCAAAGGAGGAGAGGCTTACCGCGTATAAGACACCCACGGTCAACAAGACATTGGTCATGATTTGGACGTATCGGACATTTTCTTCGTTCAACCCTATGGACGAGGACAATTTCTCGGCATACATGTATATCTGAAATAAAACCAGAAGGGCTGGGATCCAAAGCAGAAATTGAAGAGGAGGGAAGAAAACCCACCAGGAGCTTCTCTGAACCAAGAAGGGGGCCACTTCCCAGAAACGAAACTCTTTGGGGCTCGCGTATGGTGCTAAGCCATGGTTTGTTTCAAGCTCGATCAACTGTGGTTTCAGCTGAAATGTTCTCGGGACCAAACCCGCACTTCAGAGGCTCCTTCTGGACTCCCAACCATTTGGGTTACCCATTTTAAAGAGAAGAGCCACACACTCTCCTTCAAAACAAAAGAGTCTGGTGGATCAGAGACCAGGATGGTAAACCTAGAAACCTTCTGCTATATGGTCAGGGACGAGATGCTTCTGTCCACGCTCCTCCTGATCCCCGTACTTCCAGGAAACTTAAACTTATGGCTTTCAAAAGCCAAGTGGCTTTGTTCGTCATATCACTTGTAAGGCAGAGAACCACATGGTAGATACTCAACGTCAACACAAAGCCACCACTGGCGACGTAGCACCATAGAAGGTATTCATGACCTCCAGAAACAACTTTCACCCAACCCATTCCATGGTGCTTGTTATGAAGATGATGAAGCTCAGCTTCTTAAAGGCTCCAGAGACCGCCTCCTTACCGCATTGACACCAGAAAGCTGCTGGCCGGCTACCGCAACCATAACAGAAATTATGTGCCAACGGAGCTCACGATACCCCAGCAGCCGCAAGGAATTCATCTTCTTCTCGGCCTTCTCGAAGAGGTCCTCCTGTTGGAGTTCCTCCAGTTCGTCCTCCACGTTGCTCTGGAGCCTGAGTTCCTTCAGGGCTGGGGAGAAGAGGCAGAAAACACCAAAGCGAAGGTTCAAGGGTGGTGCTAAGGTTGAGGTGGGGCAGAGATAGCAGGATCCCTGATAGGTTCTCCTTGGACGATACTTGGCCTGTAGATATTTTTCCCTTAAGATCAGAATCATGCAAGCCATCGTCTTCCCCATGACCCTTTACGGAAGCAAAAGTTGGACTTTGAAGAAGCAGGATAAGAAGAGTGTTGAACTTTGGTGTTGGAGAAGACTTCTGAGAAGACCGTGGACAGCGAAGAAAACAAACCAATGGATCGTCGAACAAATCAACCCGGAGTTCTCACTCGAGGCACCAATGACCAAGCTCAAATTATCCTACTTGGACACATTATGAGAAGACCCATCTCTCCGTTGCCGGGAAAGATGGAAGGAAAGAGAAGAAGAGGACAACCAGGAGCAAGGTGGAGGGACTCAGTGACAGTGGCGATGAGTGAACCATTGGAAGATCTGAAGGGCCAAGCTGGGGACAGATCCTCCTGGATATAATTCATCTGTGTAGTTGCCAAGAGTCAGCAACAACTTGATGGCACATAATCAATCAATCAATCAATCAATCAATCAATCGCCTTGCTATGTGTGATGGCTTGAATGTCTTTGTATCCATCCATCCATCCATCCATCCATCCATCCATCCATCCATCCATCAGATTCTTCCTTTGACAACCTCCCATCTGGGCTTTTAACATTTCCTAAGTGTTGAGAAACGACACACCCTACCAGGAGTTTAAATATGGCCCCATCGCCAATCCCAGCGGATACCATGTCTGGCGGCTTCTTCCTCTTTCTTCTGAATCAACAGATACCTCGGACTTTCGGGGAAGGGAGGAAGGAGGATGATCTGGAAGATGGCCAATATGCCTGTGAAACTCGCCAGGACTGGCCAACCTGCGCGAGCAGAAACGAGTTGTCAATGCGTGGATTTTGGGTGGCATAGTCCCCACACTTCCCCCTTACCAAGCCTCACCTTCCACAGTGCCCATTATTTCAGGAAAGGCAAAAATCTGGGCCGTCTGGACCCCAATCACTAGGAAAAGATGGGGCACCATGCCAATCGCACCTCTCAACTTGACCGGGCTGATCTCTATGAGGTACATGGGAACCGCGCTCGAGAAAATACCTGGGGAATAAAACAAAGGATGATGACAGTCCTGTTCAAAAGAGGTCTTCATCTTCACTGGTTGCGAATCCCTGGAGGAACCCACCAAGGGGGCCAGAATAAATTGCCCCCACGTTGCACGGAGCAAGTGTGAAGTAGCAGTGAATGTGGAGTGGAAATGGGGAGACCACGAGATCTAGTCCTCCAGCTGCATGGCTTCGACCAGCCGTGCTCTCTTGGACCAACCCACCTCCCAGGGTTGTTGCTGTGAGGAAAACAGGAGGGGGGGTGTTCTGTATACCACCTTGGGTTGTACAAAATAAGGGTGGGGGATAAATCCAATTGATCAACCAACATGGCTAGTTTGGAGTGGCCCGCTGGCCATTTTTTTCAAAGTTGAGCTCCAGGTCACCTCCAGAAAAGTTAAGATGGTGGGCACCAACATGCTTGGAGCCTCTTTTTAGGCACTTCCAAGAGTAGGCAAGGTGGCCAGCTCTACTCAGCCCCGAATCTGCTCCCGCTCGAGACCCCAGAAGAGTCTTCTTGGAAGTGCCCCCCGCTTGATTCAGGGAGCAAAACTGCAACGCCCTTTTAGGGACGAGAACCCTACTCGTCGCCAAGGTTCCCATTGGCCCCTTTGCCTACCAACCTTAAGCCATTGAGGTTGTTCTCGCCGGAAACCGGGGGGCCCTTTTCCTGGGAGGTACCCTCCTGTTTGCTGGGGGGGTTAAACCTGAAATGATCCAGCCCCACACCCCAACTCACCCATCGAGATGCCAATGAGGAAGCGCGAAAACATGGCAAAGATGAAGGCGTGTTGCACGTTGGCACAGACCATAGCCATGGAGAACATCAAGGAAAAATAGCTGTTGATCATCAAGGTGCCTTTCCTGAAGACACAACGGAAAGAAATGGTGGGAGTCAAAGACCTCTTAGATGTGTGGTCGGAGCAGAGGAGAAGAAAATTGCTGGCAGACGGAGAAAGAACCGGGAGATTCTAATGGGGAGGAAAACTTACTTTTATGGATCAACTGCTAAGGTTTAATTTGCTCCAGGAATGGTAAGCAGCTGCCTAAGATGTTGGGCTTGACCATGATTTATTCATGGAAGCCACCACTAGCCGAGTCCACGCAACGCCTGACGACGTAAACCAGGAAGTGATTTTTTTATTCAGCAGCTTCAGAAGGATCTGAAGCCTTCGGTGACCTCATTGGCTGAGATTTTGACAAACAACCTTCATTCTGTCCTCGGGGTCATGCACGGCACAAGCCACGGCTTCATTTGGCCGTTGTTCACTCAAGCCAGGACGGCCCAGTTTGCCCCACACCTTTATAAAGTGTATGCATACGTCATTCCACCCAGCCAAACAAATCTTGGCTTGTGCAGCAAACCACAGTTCGAATGAGCCCCAAACCACGGCTTGGTGTCCAGTGGGAACCCAGAGCTTGAAACCAACCCCAACATGTCTCTCTCTGGAAGTCCAAACTTCTAGTAACCTTGCCAGCCTGATCTGGGCATACAGCTGTTTGATTTCCCGTCCACCAGATTGAATTACCATTAGAGCAGGTGGATCTAAGTGGGAAGCTTGCTCCTTCTGCAAGCAGACATAGCTGCTTTAATGAGCCCCAGACTTCTTTTCGATCAATTCTCCCGCTCGGAGAAGATCAAAATAGATATCCAACCGTCTTGTGCTTGACCCGGTCCAGATCAGGGAGCAAATACTCAACCCAACATTTCTGGGAATGGCCAAAGTCGTCGCTCTCTTTTTCTCCCTCCTTCTTTTCATTCACTCTACCCGCGAAACAGCCCGTGGGGGTCTTCAGAGCGCCCCCAATCCAGCTACCTGCCAAATTTATCCACCAGGACCCCGAGGAGGAGTGCCCCCACCATGGCTCCAAGGGGGAACAGGCTGACTGCAAAACCGAGCAATAAATCTTCGTGAAGTTTATCCGCTTGATTGGTGTGGCTCTGGACATTGTGATATGTCAGATTGTAGAATTTTTTGATGAGCTGGGAGGAAGAGAAGACCAACTGAATTAGAGGCCACCAGGTATAGCCAGCGGCCAACTTCGATTCGGTGGTCCTGCTCGGCTGCAGAGCCCCCTTTTTGCATATAAGCTATTTTGCAAAAACCATTTTAAAAGGTTTCCTGCAACTCCCCCACTGCCTGTTTTTCCAAACCCCCCTCCCATTTTTAAATGAGTTGGGCAGCCAATAAATATCAATGCATAATCATAAATCACTTGAATCTGGACGTTTCCCCTTGCACTATTCCCGAGGCCTGGTGGGACAGATTTTCAAAATGTCAAATGGATTAAAAACATAAATAATTGACAAATGTTGCCCGGTTTGACCCACATTTCGCTCGCATCTGCCCTGCAGAGTTCACTCACAGAAGTTTCTGAGTAGCACAGCCAGAGATTGTAACCGTACTGGATTGAAGCCAACCCCGAAACGAACACAAGCTGGAAGGCAAGACCTGCAGGCTTTAAAGAAAAAGACCAGAAGAGGCAGTCATCAGTATTTTTTAAAAAGCACCGATAATCACAGGTAGATCTCTTGCATTTAATATATTAGCTTGGCTCCTAAACTCCTGCAAGCAAAGAATAAGGACATCGCACTTAATGGAAAGAAAAGCAAAATAAACAGCAGGTAGGACAAGGCCAAATCACAGGTGTCTAAGGTTGCTTTGTGCCAGGCAATGACCAAAATAAAGATGTGATCGGATCTCAAGACCCAGAGAACGAAGACTGCTCCAGCAGCCAGCCCTTTAAACTTACATTTTTTAAAACTCTAGCCATGGTCAGCTGCAGATTCTTGCTAAATTCTTATTCACAAGGAAGTCATTTTTACGGGTAATCTGTTAAAGCAGCAGCAGGATTTTATGGCTAGTTCATATTCTCCCCTGCTATTATTTGGGATCGCAAAAGCCAGGCTTGGTTTCAGAATTGTCCTCCCCCCCACTTTTTTTTGAGGTCACCCAATATGCTGTGAATCCTGAACAAACCACAGTTGAAGGGCATACAGTGTGTAGGTAGGTAAACCTTTATCATGGTCCAACATGTGTATGTGCATATGTATGCATGTATGTATATATATATAAAAATAAAATGCATAAAATAGGCATTAAAAATAGCAATTAAAAGAAGATTAAAGGAAGTTATATGCGTGAAAGAGGAAGAAAGGAAGGGGAGGGGAGAGGAAAAATTTTAAAGTTATCCAAGAAGCGCAGTTTTATGGGACAGCATTTGTTCCACCCAACATACACAAACCAAACGAACCAAGATGAAAACTAAGCAAGTTAGCCGGGGGACAAATGCAGATCTGGTTAAAAATGTGGCATCCAGGGCATTTCCATACGTTAACAGGAATTTCATTTTAAACCAGGGGCACCTCAGAAGCACTGGGAAAGGGCTTTGCCAAATTTTGCTGCGCCCGGTCAGCTGTGCTCAGAACGATCCCCCCAGCCCAGAGTCGCTGAGAGTCGGGCGCACGTGCATTTAATAAGCGATTATTTATTATGATAGCCATCTCTGAATCTCATCCTAGAAGAATAGATTCAGGTCTGGGCAAACTCACCTCTTTCTCCGCAACCACCTTTGCAGACATCTCAGGTCTGTTTTCCATGTCTTGTTCTGTTTTTTAGGGGGAGTCTGCAATCACGCCAAGCTGCACGGGAAGGAAAGGGGGAAGGCTGTCAAGAGATCCAGGAAACTTTCTATAAACTTAAAAAAAAAACCCAAACCTAAAGAAAACACAAGAGACTCCAGAGCCATTGAGTTCAGTGAGGATGTGGGTTTATTTTTCCTGTTTGTCCTCCCCCTGCCCGTACCTTGGAGGCATTTCAAGATAGGCTGCCATGGCACCAGGAGGCTCTCCTTAGCTTGTTTGGCTTGTATAAGCTAGACAGGCAGGCAAGCCAGCTGTAGCCGAGCCACCGGCCAGAAGCAGAGCCTCAAAATCAGCCCACCCAGGCCAGAAATTGGGAGGAAAAGCCACTTTCCCAGCCAAGCCAAGGGAGGAGAGACAGACACGGAAGGAAGGAAGGAAGGAAGGAAGGAAGGAAGGAAGGAAGGAAGGAAGGAAGGAAGGAAGGAAGGAAGGAAGGAAGGAGAGACAGACAGACAGACATAGAAAGAGGAAGAAAGGGAGGGAGGGAGGAAAGAGCTTATTTTAGAAACGTTTGGCTTCCCCCAAAGGCTGAGCTTTTTACTTCATTCACTCCTCTCCCTGCACCACCCCTCCCTCTGCCCCCCGCCCATCTCTCCTGTCTCAATGCCCCCCTTGGCCCACTAGACAAGACAGCCCCCCCAGCCGGGTTCCTGGCCAGCCGGACC